AGAAGTAGCATTAGAATAGAGAGTGCTAGAGTTAGAGGGTCAAATGAAGATGAAAGAGATGAGTTTTCAGCCGTTTCTTGAAAATATTAAAGACTCCAGCTGCTTGGATTGAGCTGGGCAGGTCATTCCACCAGGAGGGAACAGTTAATGTAGAAGTCCATGAAAGTTTTATCAGGTAGAATGCAAAATGTTTCAATACAAGCATTTCAGTCAAATGTAATTTATGCAATATTTCAACCTTTAACCTACTTGGGAAAATCAACCCATGGCAACAGTTTAAAAGTAGCCCAATTCTGTGGAAAAAAACGCGGACTTGGTAACCCTGCATCCAACAAGAGCTACCGGAGTCAGCTTTGATTGAGCTGGGCAGGTCATTCCACCAGGAGGGAACAGTTAATGTAGAAGTCCATGAAAGTTTTATCAGGTAGAATGCAAAATGTTTCAATACAAGCATTTCAGTCAAATGTAATTTATGCAATATTTCAAACCTTTAACCCACTTGGGAAAATCAACCCATGGCAACAGTTTAAAAGTAGCCCAATTCAGTGGAAAAAACGTGGACTTGGCAACCCTGCATCCAACAAGAGCTACAGGAGTCAGCTATGACTGATCACATGTAATGAATAAGGAGAGATGACTGACAAGACCATGCTGGAGTATTTGCTGCTAAACACATGTTGCGGGAACAGGCGGCAATGGTCAGAGATTCAGCGGGAGTGACCCTAATTTAGATACACACACAGTTATGGATTCTTTTGTTTTCGGTGTGAACATTTTTTTTGTTGGATTTCATACTGTCTATCAGAGGAAAAAAGGAGGGGGTCTTCGATTATAGTTTGGACAAAACAAATTAGCATTTTATCAGACGGAAACATTTTGTTTCACTTTAACTGTCAAAATGAAGACATTTAGTATGCATTTATTTTTTCCTTCAGGGTTTCATGTGACCTACTAGAGGAATCTTTGCTTTGATATGAGGCAGATCCTTGATTTAGCTCCCAGCTCCTTTGAGATGTCTCTTAGAAATGCTGCCACTTTCTTTTTGGAAACCAAACACATTCTGTCACAGCAGTCTTGGTGGCTGTTTTGATGAATCCACGCAAAACCTGTAAATCGCACAAGAGGTATTCCTCTTTACCAAGCAAACAGCGGTATTTGCCACTTCAATCTATATTATTAATAACACAATATTCCAATGACAACTATTTTGCATATATAGTGTCACATTGCTGTAATTTAACCTGTGACTAGCTATTCATTTATTTTCCCAGACTAGAGCAAGAAAAAAAGTCATTTTAGGTATAGAGATGATGCTATGTCATAAATTGCATAACATACAACAAATGCCACCAAAATAGACGCAAAAGAGCTTTCACAAGCAATTTTACAAACCGTAATGTGACATCTTTCAAAAATAGATAATACATTATTTTAAACAAAATATTTGGTCTGAAAAATTAAAAAAGGGTTTGGTGATGTCAGATAAAAGCCACTTCATAGACGGATCAAGTTATTAGGATAAAAGCTTAAAAATTTTTTACAGCTCTGTATAGTTTGTATAGGTTTATGAGAGTAAATAGCGTCAATTATGATGTCATGTTGATTTTGACTGGTGCTCCACTGCATTTTATAACAACTGGAACTGCACTGATACTCGAGTCTACTCCTGTGAACAAGAGAAAAACAAATAAGCAAAATGGATGCTGTGCATTAGGTTTCTGGGAACCTCACAGCAGGGAAAGGCCACTTGCCCTGAGCTAAGAGAAGGCGGCTAATGTTTCATTTAGGGAGTCTCTACAAGAAGAATATTCAGCATTTAAAACAGCATTTTATATACTATTATGCTATGGAAAATACCAGTTTACAGAGCAAAAGGGTTTGCAAATGCAGACATTTATGGAGAAAATAAATGGAAAGAGGGTTTGAAGCATCCCAGACTAGCTTCATAATCAGTTTGAGATGGACAACTCTATCCACTAACATGTGACTTTCAAACTGGAAAAGCTTAAGGTTCTACACATTAAAGATTAACCCACTTCACTCTCGAAATGTAAAAGTGAGTCCTAAAAATTAAAAGGCATTTATAGCCAAACTGTGTGTAAAAAAACGATTTAGCAAATAAAACTGGACTGACAACCGTAGGCACATTACACTGGGTCACCTCCACCAGAACGTCCTACAGTCCCTGAATACATCAAACAAACATATTCTGCCTCTACACTACTCTTTGTTATGGAGATATGATCCATTTATCAAAATGTAGTCCTCCCCCAAAGTGTGGGTCCTGCAGTGAGCCTAGTGGTATAAAAATGAAGTGTATCATAGAAGGAGTGACAGCGGGCCACATGAGGGAGAATTTGATAAATGAACGAGAATGGACACACTAAAACCTGACCGTGAATTATACATGAGGAAGGCAGAAATGATGAAGAGAGAGGCAGAGGCGAAACGAGGGACCCTAGCAAATCGAAGTGGGGAGCTGTTGGTCTCGGGGAGCCCACGTTTGACATTTCCAGGCTTTTTCTACGGGTTAATTAGCAGTTGATCCCTTTGTGCACGCCAAGTTGCCATTATGTTTTAAAAGCAGCATTGCTAGCTCAAAGTCCAATTACATTTAACACACACCTGAAGCATTAAACCAAACAGGAAATGTAAGTGACATCTCTACATTTCCCTCTAATCTAAAAATATTCCAAATGGCATTTACTCCTCAATTTCTCAGAGTGACTCAGTCGGACTCCAGCTGGGCCAATTAGGTATCTTAATTCTATGTTTCGTACAGAGCGTTTCGCTACTGCATATCAAAGTAAATACCTGACATTAAAAAACACGCTTGAAAGAAAGAAGCCATTTAGGGAACAGGTTGCAGCGTTCAGCTGACATCACAATCACAACAACTCGCTGATCAAAAACAATTTAATTTCATTAACGTCTCTTAGCAAAAACCAAACCAAAGCAAACGTGGGAATGAAACAAGGCTTCAGTCGCACAATTAATTCCACCAGTCATCCTCAATTCAAGCTAGCAACGTCTGAGAAGACCGCAGCTCTGCAGGTTTAAATTCTCACAAAGGTTGTTCGTGCAAATCAGCGCTTTCATGCGTGGCGGTGATGACTACATCACTATTGCTAATGGTGATGAGTGAGTATCTTGGGTAATGCTTTGTCTGACTTACATGCCTCCACTGATTCAGCACTGTAGAAATTCCTGACATACAATGAAAAACTGAAGCTATAGGCCTACTTTATAATGAAACTACACTTTAACACATTTTTTTTTATCATGCTGAAGATTTTTATTCACTTTGTTTTTGTTTTGTTCACTGTAGACAAAACCTGACCCACACACACTGAAAATGTTTAAGCTACATTAGCATACTTTTGAAACTTAAACATTATCTATATTTTGAATCCCATCTTCCTTGATTCAAAACTTTCATACAAAGTGCATAAAAAAATTCTCAATTCTCTAAATACACAATAATGCAAAAGACAATATAGCAACAAAGCACTGCTAACACCTGCATTCACCCACTTTTAGACTGTTCATCTTTCACCAGGAGAGCCATGGAATGAGGATTACAGGACTCCTGGTCCGCTTCCCTGTCATTACCCATTCTGCCCTGGGGGCATCTTGTGAACGGGAATCTGCAAACTTCAAAACAGATAGGAGAGTGCCAAGAGAGCACAATGCTAATTATCATTCCATATACAGGGAAACTCTGAAACAACATGAAACAAAGGGTAGCATAATGCTGGAAGAACAACACCAGAATGTACGTAGTGTGCATGGAAGGAATGCTACATAATAAACAAAGGTAAAGCAAAGGTTGAGAAAGATGCTAGTCAGTGCTTGCGTTTTTGAAACCTAGCACTACAGCTACCTGAGACTGCTATGCTGTTGAAAACGATGCCCCGTTTCACACGCAGGCACACACTCAAACTTCTCACCTGCGATTAAAGGGCAGTGTGCTATCCAAACACACCAAGTAGCACTCAAACAGAAGCAGCTCAGCAGGGTACACCAGTATGGCCATAAATGTCCACTCTAGTGCGCATTTAACGGCCAATGCAGCATTAAACACACTCTAAATCAATAGAAACAAATGGTGACCGACTGAGGCCATCCATCAGACAAGGGTAGTGGGGCGAATACACACCCACACCCTTATAAACACACTCGCACTGACAATGAACCTCAACTGCCGTACGCTGAAGTCCCTACAGGAGTTTACGGTCTGCAGATAAACCATTCATTCATCCCTCAAACATGAGTTGCTCATGATGTCCACCCTAGGCTAGTGATTTATGCAATAGTAAAACAATGACTGATACCCGAGATCTAATCCCCCCCTTTTTTCCTCACTTTCCAGCCAGCTAGCGGGAGCACTTACGGTGCAGGTGCTCGGAAGCATAGTAATAGACATCCTCGTAACCCTCGTGATAATCCTCTTCCGGACGGTACTTTTTGCCCTTGCGTCTCCTGGACCTCCGGATCTGCTTGACAAAGCCAAGGAAGCGATCCATGCCTGCCCACCGCGTGCAGTCCCACTGATACAGGCGCAGACCGCCGCACTCAGCCAGCGTGCGTGTGTGTGTGTGAAGGTGTGCGTTCTGTTTCACAAAGAGCACGGCTCCGAAAGATATCAGAGAGAGAAAGAAAAAGAGCGAGACAGAGGAGGAGAGGGAGAGAAGGAGGGGTGCGGGTGAAGCGGCGGCAGATCGCAGTCAGCTGGAGAGGATGGGTCAAATATCAGTCTTCTCCGGTGCACCCATCTCCTTTAAGAAACCCGTGTGTAGAAGGGTCCTCAGCCTACAGCTGAATGGGTCTTTGTGCATGCTTGCATGCACGTGTAGGTAAGGAAGAGTGTGCACAGGCTAGGAACAAGAGAGAGAGAGCAAGGGCAGGGGGAAAACACACAGGGAAGTGAGAAAGACACAAAGTTCAAAGGAACTGGCAGCAAGGCGAGGAATCCTTGGGCTATGCCTTTGTCTCATTCCAGAGTGGAAACGGGGTGGGGATTTAGTCTGCCTTTAAAATAAGCATGAGTGTTTATCAGTGTAAGAATGAACAAAGCAACGATGCACCAGTGGGGTGTGGATGGAAACCCTTGAGGGGCTCTCCTGAAATTTCATTGCGATAATTCCACAAGACGGAAGGGGCACTGTGGTCACGTGTAGCTGGCATGGCACTGACAAAAAGCTGAGAGGATTACAACACTCTCTAATTCACCGTCAACACCAGCCTAGCCAATCGGCACTGCCTGGATCAGCAGTTAATAGCATTAATGGGGCTAGAGGACTTGTTAATTGAGCAGTTGGCAAACAATGACACCCAAGCGCGTGTCAGTAACTCATTCATTCAGTGGGGGTGTGTGCCACGTCACCCCAGGGCGATAACAGAACTCCCGAGAGACTACCATTGCCATTGTGCGGATGCCATTCTACTGCCTTGACACTAAGAAAAATTGTCATTGTGTGTTCCAACCTATCTGTACTTTTCTTCCCAGTAGTGAAGATGGACAACCTCATCAAAAACACCCTCTGATTCTTCACCCTATGGAATCACCCCATTTATCTCATTGTGATTGGATGGCTGAGCTAGATCACTGTGGTCTAAAACACATCATGGGAGAATAAAACCTTTCACAGAAGCCTCACTCGTCATACGTGAGTGTCTTTTTCTGTGGTGTTGAGCCTGTTCTTTGTGCAACACAGCAGGGGGGCTTTCTTTGTCTGGGGTTTGTCTCATGAAAAGCACGTAGTAGGAGGTTAAATCCCACCCCTCTGGATTACTCCTTTTTTTGATGTTGTGATTTTCATTTAACAGTTGTGGCCATGTTTTCACACATTTTAAATTAAAACGATTAAATATGCATTATTTGGTTTGTCCCTGTGGTTCTGGTAGGAGGGAGAGAAAGGAGAAAAGGAGGGTCAGATTGGAGCATTCATCTAGTGGCAAAATGTGGACTTGACATAGGCTAAATAATAATAATAATAATAATAATAATAATTATCCATTACATTTATATAGAGCCTTTCTTGGCACTCAAAGCGCTTTACATTGTGAGAGGGAGTCTCCTCATCCACCACCAGTGTGCAGCATCCACCTAGATGATGCGACGGCAGCCATAGTGTGCCAGAACGCCCACCACACAACAGCTTATTGGTGGAGAGGAGACAGAGTGATGAAGCCAATCAGTAGATATGGGGATTGTTAGGAGGCCATGATGGTCAGAGGCCAATGGGCAAATTTGGCCAGGATGCCGAGGTCACACCTCTACTCTTTTCGAAAGGCATCCTGGGATTTTTAATGACCACAGAGTGTCAGGACCTCGCTTTAACGTCTCATCCAAAGGACGGTGCTTATTGACAGTATAGTGTCCCCATCACTATACTGGGGCGCTAGGACCCACACAGACCACAGGGTGAGCACCCCCTGCTGGCCTCACTAGCACCTCTTCCAGCAGCAACCTAGTTTTCCCAGGAGGTCTCCCATCCAGGTACTGACCAGGCTCAACCCTGCTTAGCTTCAGTGGCTGATTAGTCTTGGGCTACAGGGTGATATAGCATAGTATCATTACTTCTACTATGCTTCTTTATTATATTGACAGCCCATTTGCAGCTGTACTAGAGCTTGCTGCATGATTCTCAAAAATCCTCAAACACTGACAAAACAGTCTATTTTTAGAAGAGGCTGTCAAAAATAATTTCAGCAGTTAGAATAAAGTCCATACAGATAGGATCTAAACTTCCTATCAAATAGGACATTGCCTCTCTGATTGTTTACTGATGAGCAAACACATGCTTTCTCATCAGGGAATGGTGCATCCTGGGAATTCACAGCTCCCACAATTTGAAGACCCAGACTTGTTTATCCAATCTGTGTGCCACCTGAGGCAATCAATGCACATTCAACAGATTCATTATTGTTTCAGAAAATGCAAAAATCCAGAGCAATCTAGCTAGCGGGTGGGGCTTTAATTAGCTATGTGGTCGCCATACCTGTAATTAGACATCCTGCATCCTCAGAGGAAGACTGAGTTTGGATTCAGGGCAGCTGCTCTTTGCAAAACTGCAGAACAGAGGCAGTATTCTCTAGCAGGGGCGTATGAATCAGCATGAGGAGAGTTACTTTACAAAATAATTCTCGGCTTTTTTGGAGATGTGAAATTCACAATGCCGTAACTATTATTATTCATGAGGTAAGTGCATTGTAATTAAGACTATAACTAGGAGATGGTATAATTAGGACTAATTCACTATATTTCATAGTATTCCATCTGGTACTTTGGAGTAAGAGCTGTAATTTGAAGTGTCAAGGAGTAATAATGTTTTGATGGTTTGCGCTTGTATGTTGTGAGGATTGTGGCAGTGTTCCAGGTGTGAGTCTCTCCTGAGATTGTTTTCAGATAAACCACTGCAGTAAAAGCCAGCTTTAAACACTGAGTCTGTGCCAAGCTCTTAGCATCTCTGCACCTAGTCAGAGCTGAGCATTTGCTGCAGTCACTCTTTCTCCTGTCCAGCTCACAAACCCAAAATATAACTTTGTGTCTTATTTCTTCTTTGGCTCAATTCCATTTGTATGGTAAATGCTGCGGTAGGTGCAGAGCTGCAATGGGAGTCATTTTTAATGGCTGCATGATGACTTCCCTTAAAGGAACAGTTCACCCACAAATAAAGATCGAAATTTCTTTTTTACTCATGCCATTTTCAACAGTTTTGTTTCGTTGGAGTCTTCGGAACACAAATTAAGATGACTATTTTTGATGACTATTTTAACAATGTCCTTACCTTTCTGGGCCTTAAATGTGGTAGTTGCGTTGCTGTCTATGCAGGGTCAGAACGCTCTTGGACTTCATCAAAAATATCTTAATTTGTGTGCTGAAGATGAATGAAGGTCTTATGGGTTTGGAACGACATGAGGGTGAGTAATTAATGACAGAATTTTCATTTTTAGGTGAACTAACCCTTTAAGATCTTTTCAAAGAATTAGTTGATTCATTTTAAAAATGGTCTGAATGAACTTAACAAATTTTGGTCGGTTCATCATAAAGCTTTTGAATGGCCCTTGAATACTTAGCACTTTTATGGTGTTATTACGGCAAAGTCCTCATTCAGTTATGTCATACAAAAAACAGAGAGGCCAGTGCAGTCCTAATATGTGAGGGAGGATAAGTGATGACAGTATTTTCATTGTTAAAATTGAACTACTTCAGCAGTGAAAGCAGACTGAAAGTAGACTTAAAGTGTGTGTGTGTGTATGAGCAATCCAGGCAGAACTTCTTAAAATCCTTACTTGTGCATCCATTTGAGCGTGAACTGCCTGAAGCTTTTTCTGGAACCAGGGCTGTGCCAGTTTGTTGCAATATGGTAGCTCCTCTTTGGAAGCAAGTCCATTGCCTGGGTAGAAAAAAGGCTGTCCAGACACTACATCTGCTATGAGCAAATGCTTCAGACGATTGAAACAGTCTCTCAGTAGAGAGAGGAGGATGCTGACAGGTTAAACGGTTGTGTTTTCACAGTTATTTGAACTCAGACATTGAGAAGTCATGCAGGATTGCTGAGTCAAGTGTTTCACACCTTCACAAACAAACCAACCCACACAAACGTAAATTCAGCCTTCTTGAATGTTCCACCCTCTTTCCCAGTGCCCACAGTCTCCCTCTCACAGTTGAATGAAGCTCTCCCTTTACTAATTTATCACATCTGCAAGGTCTACATTTGTTCTGCCCTTAGCAAGTTCCATAAAGTAGGTCTATTTTCATCCCTTCGGCTCTAGACTCTTCCTCATTCAAGATGGCAGTTCTGCTTGGAGTGAAAAAAACAACACTGGACCTGATGACTGGCACTTTGTAGGTTGCAGGTTCCAGGTTCTATCCTCACAAGGAGGATCACCTTTGCCCATGAGCAAGGTATTTAACTCCAAGTTGCTACAGGGGAGAGTTGTTATAGCAAAAAGTTAATTGTGCAGTTTTATGGTGACATTTAGGTGTGCCAAATTCAACTAATTTTTTTGCCAATGGCAGGCGAGCTTAGAAAATGTATTAATTCTTAATATTTATTACTGACCGTCAGGGGTGTGAAGTAACGAATTACAAATACTCACGTTACAGTAATTAAGTAGTTTTAATCAGTAATTGTACTTTTTTGAGTAGTTTAAAAATTGTGTACTTTTACTTGAGTACATTTTAAGTGCTGTATCTGTACTTTTACTCCGCTATTTTCTGACCGTAAAACTGTACTTCATTATTTTATTTAATTTTCAAGAGAGGTGACAGGAAATGATAGGCAGAGGATGGTTTGATTTGATTAACTTAACATTAGATTATCATTCTAACAACTCAACCATGTTTTATGCTGCTAATACTATTAGTTTCAAATAAAGTTATGTCTGCTGGTTAAAAATTAGTTTTTATTCTTGTTGAAGTCTTAGCAAGTGTTAACTGTGGACCACAATGCATAAAACTCATAGAAACAATTTTGAGAAAACAAATAAAGATTCTATACTGTGACTACAGGAAGGTATCAGATGTTAGAAATCAAATATCAGTCAGAGCAACATCTCTGAAACAGCAGTAAAACTGTACGAATGTTCCTCCTCTGGTCTCAGATTAGAGTAGACAGGAATGTTACTTACTCATCCACAATGTCTCTGCTATAACAGTGAA